TTCCTGCAGCATGAAGCCACCTCATATCTCACCTTTAGGCTATTCACTAATACAACACTGCATGTATCTCTGAGCTACAGATCAAACTAGATTAGATCTGAAGCTGAGCAATCACATTACAGTGGATGCCTGACAGCAAAACAGGCAAAGCCAGGCAAATAAATGCTGTCCAAGCTTCAAGCCTTAAGAATTCTCAGTTCACAACTGCTTTTTTAAAGATTTAATAGGTATCAACATTCAAATATATAGTACTGTGTGAGAATCAGTACAGATCCATAAACTAAGATCAGGTAAGCATCAGAGGTCTGCAAATATAAAGTGTGGAACACCACAGGGGAACAGAGATGATAATATCTGAATGGTCATTTGTTCAATTTAGTTATAGCTTCATCTTTCTTCCATTCTCCAAGAAACAATGGGGACATCAGTACTAAGCACTGTATTCAAGCCTCAGCCCCCAAAAGTTAAGCAGGCCCTTGTAAGTATGAAGCTGACTGAAGCATTGGGGAAGTGGTATGCAAGAAGTAGAACCATTCCAAAACTGGAAAGGGATTAGTTTCTGAAGATTCAGAAACCAAATCAGCCTTCCTCTCCTGCAAAAAAATGAAGATTTTCTGAATTCCTGTCTGAGGAAACATGCAGCTGCAAACTCTTTGCTGCTAATTCACTTCTCCTTTGAACTCTACTAGAGAAGGCAAAGTCTTCTTCCTAAAAATTCATTTTTTCCACTATGATGAAAGATTTGCAGTCAAAAATCCAATGGTTCAAAAGGGTAGAATACCCTGTACTTAAAGCCTGGGAAGCTTTTAGAAGACACCGTACCCTTATTTATGTTTCCCACACATATGCCGTTTCAGTATGTCCTTCGCTCCACCAGATAGTACAGGCCAAGGAGTTTTACAGTTGTAAAGAAAGCTGCACCTGGTACCAAGTGTTTGAACAGCTGCAGTGTGCTGCTTGCATACAGGAGCAGTTGTCACTTAAACCACAGAGTTATTTGTCAAATTGGACATTTGATCCTTCAGTTTGACACTACGAGGAGAAACCATTAGGGGAAACGCACTAATGGGATCTAGCAGGCTTTGAGCCCCTCTCACTGATGAACAACTGCAGCATTTTAAAGTCCTTTGCACTCCACAGGCGGGACCAGGAAGAGAGCATTGGTTCACAATTTGGAACTCGTTAGCAAAGGCACTACACCAAGAACATATCATCTGTCTCCAGTATCAACAGCAAACCGAGACAGGCCATCTCACTGTTGTTTTCACGAGTACCCAAGGTTATGTCTGTCACCCCTGTTCTTTGTTAGCAGACTATTTTCCCACCCTGACACTGGCACTTCCCTTAGAGCTCAACTCTCTAACATAACATTGCTTCCAGAAGAACTCCACAGCTACTTCAGCTGTTTGCTAGCACCACTTCTTTCTCACTAGCTGCCCCGTGTTGGCAGGGAGACAGAACTGTCACTTCAAACTTTCCTTAGCAGTGCAAGTTCCAGTGTTGCTACTTATCTCCATAGCAGACAGCCAGAGATCAGAGTTTGTTCTGGCTCAAGAGACTTGACAAACATAAGAAATGGAGGAGTGCAGCTGTTCAAGGGCAAACCTTTGCTTTGAATAAACCCTAATGAAGCCAGTTCTGCAGGTGGGCATAGCATATAACTGGATAATCACTGCAGCATGACTAGAGAGATGAGTTTCATATACAGTCACACCAGTTATAGCCTGAAAGATTAAGCAAGAGACCAAGATTAGCATTACAATGCTTAATACCTGCATCATGAGACAAGGGACTATTTGAAGACTTCAAACTAAAGACTGCATGTTGCTCAGAGGAAGTGAAAACCTCATATCATACACAACTGTTCTGTACAGAGCAGATCTGGTCCTCAAGTATTAAAATGCAGCAACACTACACCATCGTGTCAAACAGAATTTGAAAGGTCAGGTAGAGAAATTCAGGGCTGCAGCTTCAACAGCTGTCAAAGTACGGCAAGACACAGCTGGTTTTGACAAGGCACAGACTTTCAACACACTGTTGAAAGCAGTGGACAGGACAGATATTATTTTGCCCCTACATAAGACAGCATTTCCCAACTACCAGTTCTACTAAACTCACAACCCACCCACCACAGATTAGTCCTGTAGGAAACATTGGTCCTTGTTAGGCTCCTAGTTTGTTTAGAGACCAGTTTGCTTAAAAACAGTGACATCAGGTGACAAATTCACATTAAGACAGCAGAATGTCATATCTCTCCCGTTTTCCTTTACCTCCATGTAGCTCAGGTAGTGAATTTGGCAGCCAGGTATTGCAAAGTCTGAGCAAGCTTTAAAGACCTTTGTCATTAGATCTCAAATCCCTCTCATTTCAACCCCTTGTGGTTCCTCCTTCAAAGAGTCTAATGCTTCTTCCTCAGCCTCCTGCATTATTCAAACAAGTCAAAGCTGTCTGGGGAAATTCTTTCAGGAAAACAAAGAGGCTGTACATACAGCCTTGCAGTTAATACAAGCTGATAAGATTTTTGCCTTGGGGGAAATTTAAGATTCCACCATAAAAAGCTAATACTAAGTTTTTACACGTCAGCTATCCACCTTACAAAAGAAGATTTATCATATTGGCCAGTATGTAAGAATTAATAAAAATACTAAATTTATGAACACACCTGCTTCACAGAACCAATAAGCAAATAAGCAATCACAGATTTTACATTAACACACATGCCCAATCAGTAGTGGAAACATAACTTACCGCAATACACTTTTCGCTCCCATACATTTGATGTCATATGAGACAGAGTAGATCTCATAGAAGGTCGCCTTGATGTTCAAGCAGCCAATAAAATCCTTAGGGTTCAGCTTGTACAGATCAAACGTGATGTTAGCTACTCCCATTTTCTTCTTTTGTCTCACAGTGGCAAGTCCATTTCTTGTCTAATTTAAAGAGAGGGAGAGACAGTTTGTACCATGAGCCAGGAAACTACAGCAAGACAATCGTTAACTGTGCATCTCTAGAAGCAGCTTGCTTATGCCAGTCTTGGGGCTAGTTCTTGATCAGTTCTAAACTGGAATTAAAAGCATTAGCACAGCAAAAAGTAGGTCCGTAGCTTACATAATTTTGTTCAAGTTCTAACCAGGCTTCGGGGGCTATTCCAAACAGACAGAGAAGTCCTAGAGTGACATAGCACCTCCTGAATATTTATTTCCTGTAATACAGCTGCTTCATCAGAGCATACTGAAGCCACAAATAATGCCACTGGATAGTGTTTGTCCCATTTAACTATCCTGGTATGTTCCAGCTGCTAGCTGAGGCAGCACAGTTAGTCCACACTGAAACAAGCCACCAAATAACCAGGATGACATCAGGTCCTTCCATTTAGGAAGGAACACAATACTGATGAGCACTCTTAGATATCTGCAAAGATGAAGTCTGTGACAAGTCAGGTCCTCATTTCAAATCCTGGCTCCTAATACCTCTCTTTCTTCCTACTAAAAAAGTAATATGGGCAAGGAACCACTACTGATTAGGCCTAGGGTTTAATACTGAGTTTTTAAGAGAAAAAGCAAAGGAGGAGGAGCACAGAAAGTCATCTTCCACCTTAATCCAGCCTCCTGTATTGAAAGCAGCCCTTGTCTTCTCCAGGGCTGACAGTGACACTTTCATGATCTTGCTTCAAGGGGGAAAAAACAAATAAAGATAGAAAATAGTAAAGACGACTCATATTTACAGAGACATCTAGTGGATACATGGGATACTCTGCTCAGCACATTCCAGTCAAGGTTAATGACTTGGCAGCTGTCAAGCTGTTTTTTGCATGCTAAATGAAGCAATAAAGTTGTGTAAGACTGGGCCTTTTTGTACTTGTCACCCCAGCACTCAGACAGTGTCGTGATAAGTCAGACCAAATTAACCACTGTAGTATATCATTAGCCAGCAATTCTATGCCTGTTTTACTTTGATAGTCTCTGAGCTTCAGCAACAGGGCCCCCTATCAACAGTAGTTTTGGACATGTACAGGTAGTTGGTATGCTTGGTAGTGTATGTCCTCCATTAGCACCCAGAATATTTGGATAAAGCATGACAGAGCTTGTGCTATGCTGCAGATGGTTTGGAAGCTGCAGCAGTCCTTCTGCTGTCATTCAGCACATGCTGAAGGGGGGTAGCATTCAAACTTGTTCTGCTGACATGCCAGAGAACACATAGGGTAGTCAAGGTGGGGTCATACCCTGGCTGCAACTTCTTTTCTGCTCTTGGAACTCACAGCCCAGATGCAGCACATTGAAAAGCCAGTAAGGTATTGTGGTGAAAAACGTACAAATTGCTCACACTGCAACAGGAGACTGAGGAAAGGGAGCCACACAATTAAGCCATCTATATACAAACAAAAATGTTAGGCCTGCTTAAAGCTCCTCAACCAGCTCTGCACCTGGTAGGAGAAATTTTGATGCTAGCTTCCTAGCAACAGCTATTTCAGGGGAAGACCATTAGGAGTTTGACTCTATTCTACTAATGTACAGATGACTATTCCCCCACAAAAATACAAATTGGACACCGAGTTGATATGATTAGAAGACTAAAGCTAGCCAGTCTTAGTACTTCTTGAAAGATCTTGAAGCATGTAGACTAACACCAGGTTTTGATGACAACTTCTAGCTGTTTGCAAGATTAAACACAGGCATTTTTCTAACCTTCACTAAACCTTCACTACTGCATTCATGAGGCAAAAGCTGTTTTACATTGATATCTTGCCTTTTTGTTCCTGTTTTCTTCCTGTTCTCCCCCCTTTCCAATAATTTTAGCAACCACAGAAATCCTTCCATCCACTTCTATTCAAGTGAGAAAGGCAGTCAACACTTACTTGTGTCCATTTCTGTCCTTTTTCTAGAACCATGAAGTGTGTATTATCATCCAGAGACTTGAAGAACTCTTCCGTGTCCACAACCGTGCCATCTTCCTCCAAAACCAGAGTAACTATTCCAGCAGATATAAGGAAGGCATCTAAAGTCTGCAAAAACCCCAGTGGATTTTTAGCATTCAAAAGAGGACACATCCTTTCATGTTAAGAGTTACTTATCTGATATATTCTCCCAGCTTCCCCAGTAATGATTTTTAGAAGAACAAGAGTCTGTGGGTTGCCTTTCTGTGATACTGTACTTCACTAAGTTTCATCCAGAGTGGGGCTATTTGCTATACCTTGCTGATGAGCTCTTGCAGACTGCTTGCTACAATTCCTTTCCGGCTGCTTCGGGAGGCATTCGACACACGGAAAGGTCGCCCTGCAGGCATGAGAGGAGGGAACAGGGTCTGTTTTGTTACTGCTCCCACAGATGCTCCCATGGATACCAAAGATCTAAGACAAATAAAAATTCACCATAGTTACAAAAATAGTCACGTCACATACTACAAAGAGGAGGACTGTTGAGTTCAATGAGGTAAGCACATTATACAAGTAATTCACAGGTCATGTTAGACCCATGGAGTTTGCTTTCAGAACTAAACACTACATAGCCCCACAGACATATCCTCTCTGAGCTTTCTCTTGCCAGTGACATTTGAAAACACTTCTAAAATTAAAAACATTTCAAGCAGATATGGGCCAGCTGATGTCAAGGTCATGATTACAGTGAGGCTGACAGGTTTTAGCTCTGAATTAGAAAGCCAGCAGCTCCTACTGCATTCAGCTACTTAGATCATTCTCTTTACCTGCAACATAAACAGTCAATGAGACAACACAAAAGACTACTTCCAACTAATTATTTAAGATGAGTTTGCTTTAGGAAGATTGAACATATTATCCGTATTTAAAACACCTAGCATTTTGATATAGTTATGCTTGTGTTCCAAACAGCTGAGGTGTTTATCTTGTAAATAATATCCACAGCATATAAAACTTCCTCCAGTTTTGAAAAATCACAAAATAAAACTTCTACCCTCATGTATCAAAAGTCATCAGATGAAATAAAAATTAAGATTAAAGTATATAAATGTATAGTGTTGGAGCAGGCTGCCAGAGGGGCTGGAAGATTCAAACACTTTTAGAAAGAGATTTTAAATTTTCCTGGGCAATCCCATGTTTTAATACTGACTGTTTAGGTTCCCTTAGGTAAACTGAGTGCATAACACTAACTGGCTACTCACACACCAAGATACAGACCTGCTCCCATCTACATCTAATGACAGCTTTTGGCTGCCAAATTACATTGGTTAATTCAGTATCTGGATTGCCAAAAATCACCCTCTGAGTGACACCTGGAAAGGACTGATCTCTGACAAGTCGTTTAAAGGTAGGCAATATTTTCTCTTCCACACTCCTGGACTTTACCCCCTGTATACTTTTTGCTCCTTAGTACTGAATTGCACAGGGTTGGGAAAGGGATGCATCCCCATTTTACTCTTCCACATAGGTGTAAAAGATCATCTTCATGTAGGAAGATCTATTCTCAGACACTTTTACAGAGGGTGAGGGAGCCAGGGTGCGAATACAGGAATTCTTGAAACAATGATGAAATGGTATAAAGTTACTCAACTAATAATGTCCCAGTCATGTATTTTGTGCAAGGCCACACTGACCAGGGAGAATAACTCTCTTTCCCAAATCGCTTATTTGGTCTTTAAGCATATTTTATGTGATGCACAGAAAGTAATTTTTGTGACTGGCCAGACAGAGTTTCAGCAATTAATTTACTTTCTGTGATCATTCTGAACCACTTTTCTACAGAACTTTGGTCTATTGCCTTTCCTTTGTACATCAAAATTTACCTTCCTCAAAAGCTCCTCAGTGTTATTGGACATTTTGTGTCATGGTTGTTTTTTTTTTTTCCCTAAAGGTCCCTGGCTTTCAACAGTTTGCATATATACCCATGGCTGGTGGACATCTCTCTCCTTCCTGTAACAAAGGTGGTAAGGATGAGCAGTCAATATAGTTTTCAGGAGACAGGCAGAGTTAATAAGCACTTTCCTCCCGGAGAAGAGTAAAGACCTGGGAGAAAGGTAAGGTGACAGAGTAGCAGTGACTCTGTGCTTCAATATATTCACTGAAGCTCCACAGACAAGGAAGCATGCTAGGACAGGGAGTGTTTGTTAATCTCTTCACTGACTAAGTTAGTAGTCCCCAATCACCCCACTGGTCCGTGGGCAGCTTCCATTCTGAATCACTCAGGTCTTTTCCTCAGATATGAAGCCTGCTCATCTGCCTTGGGGCTGGTGACTCCACGGGCCTCCCTGGTGTTAGCACAACACTCAAGGTTCAAGAGACAATGCTTTCAGAGCTAGTTACATCCTGTTCCCTCTCACACACTTGAAAACCAGCACATAGAATGGTTACTTGAGTGGTATATATGACAGCACTGCCAAGATTTTTCTTTTTTTAAAGACAGAAAATACTAGTTCAATTGAACAGTTTTATTTCCCACTACTTAAGCCAAGTTGCCATTCACAAAAGACAAAGCATAAGGAAAAAAGCCAAAACATACATCCCGATACAAAATGAAGAGCTTTAAGGGCACAGCTCAGGGGCAGGACTTGAGTTAACAGTTCAGCCTCAGGCTTTAGAACAACCAGCTATACAAGCCATAGCTTTGCAACTCTGAGAAGTTTCTTCAGGATTCAAGATCAATTACCTCACACTGCTGCCTAGGTCTATCAGATGTAAAAAGCCAGAGAAAAATATAACAAAACAGATTAATAAACCAGGACTTCCATTAGCTCCACCAGATAGTCACTTAACAGGAGTCCAAGCTTTAAAATTGATGCCACTTCACCTGCATTTCACTAAAACCCGTCAATATCATCTTTAAACTGTATCTGCTTACGAAGCAGTGAGTCCAGGCTCCAGTGCAGGCTGAGGTTTCAGTTAATGAGAAGCACTTGGAAACAAAAGCCAGTGTGATTAAAAAAAAAAAAAAATGACAGACAAACAGAGCGTGAACCCTTTCATTGCCGAGCCTGCTACTGAAAGCTTGTTTTTTCTTTGTTTACACACACACACACACACAAAGACCACAGACTCCAACAGACCAGCCTAGGTTCAGGGCTCCTTGAAAGATCCTTTCTGCTGCAGCTGTCCTCAGAAACCAGACAAACTGACTCCTGATGCAGGGAATTCCTCTGCTAGATTTGGAGTTACCAAAATAACTTCTATTGAAAGCTTATCAAGCTAAGTCTGGAAACAAGAGGTGGAAAGGAACATACTAAGGTGCAGTCAGTTTTATGAGAAAGTCAAGTGACATGTTGTATAGCAACTCCATTGCTGTTCTATTATTCTTCAAAGTCAAAAAGATCAAGTCCTCACTCTTCCCTAAAGGAGGGATCCTATGTCAATGCAAACCACAAACATATACTTTTAATTGAAAGAGCAAACATCTTCAGACTCTGGCATGTTGTCCAGTTTGTTTTGTATAACTACAACCTGTGAGAGAAGGACTCACAGATACTGTCCCAAGCGTTCAGTGTAGCATCCAAGCTGGTGGGACAGGTGAATTAACTGCTTTTAGGAGAACCAGGGGATTAAAAGCTTATGCTGAGCCCTCTACACACATTTCCCCCTTTATCTTTGTTTGCAATATGCTTTGTATGTTTGTCTAAGAATGTGGTGCAATGGTCTTCAGCCTCACTGAAAAAAAAAAAATCAACGTTGCACAACACGTGTGGCTTCGGACTATGGCACGGTTTGACTTTTAGGTTAGAGTTCACAGGCAAATGACAAACGCAGTAACAGTGAAGCAAAAATAAAAGCCAGAAATCAGTCAGGAGACTTAGGGTTCAACCAGATTGCAGACTTGGTTTCCCTGGTAAGGCATTGTATGCAAAGATACCAGAACCGCAGCTAGGAGTAGATCCCTTTGCGAGCGGCATACAGACAAACCTTTCTGAGCGCGGTCAGCACACCCGCAATGTAAGCAGGGGCCAGGAGCCGTGGTCACGCTATCACCCGCACCTGCTCCTTGCACACCAGACTGCAGCGTCCCCACTGCCGAGAGGCGAACGCGTCCCAGCCACCAGACCTCAGACAGGCGTGAAGGCTGCAAAGCTCCTGCTCGCACTGCCCCCAGGACTTCATCTGAGGCTGAAAGGGCTGCGAGAGCTTGCTTCTCCCACCTAGCGACCAGCACATTTCATACGCACAGGCCGGCTGTGATTAGCCCTCACACTGTGCCTGGCAACCGCCCTTCGCCCCTGGACGCCGACACTCATCC